ACAGCACCACCAGCAGGACACTGGCAAAGCTTTGCCTGGACTTCTCCATCCTGGGAGAGACAAAAAACCAAGCATCTTTCTCATCATGAAGGCATCACAGCTCCGTTTTTACCCTGGAGAAGGATGGAAATGCTGAATTTCTGGATTGTTGTCATTCAGGCTCTTACCTGCTGCCCAAGAGGGGTTGTGGAGCAACTCCAGCTCTTCTCAGATGGAAAACATCCTGTGGCTGTGGCTGTCACCTCACTTTTATACACCAACTCCCCTCCCAGCAGGTGCCTTCATCTAATTCTACCTCCCAGGCTGCGATTTTGGTTGTTAAAATGACTAAAGCCCATAATTGGAGCCCCCCTCTGGGTAGCTGGTAAATTCAGAGCCATGAAAGTTACAGCCTGGCTTTTTAAGAGCTTGTAAATCATGACACTCAGAGCCAGCTGACTGCTGGAAAACGCAGGAGTTTTCCTGTCAGTGGCTTCTGATTTCGAGGGAGAAGTTCTTGGGTGAATTTGTGTTGTTGAGGACTCGAGATGGGTGAGGAATCCAGACTTTAAGAATCCCAGGGTGGTTTGTGTTGGGAGGGATGTTAAAAACTCAGCCAGTGCCACCAACCTGGGCTAGTGGAAGGTGTCCCTGCCCATGGCAGGGGGATGAAATGAGAAGAACTTTAAGGTCCCTTCCAACCCACACCATTTCACGTTCTTCGTTCCTCAGAGTTGGTGCAGATTGCTGAAGCAGCCAAGAGCTCTTTGCATGAATGATATTGTTTGGGGGGTTTTTTGTTTGTTTTATTTTAATTTTTCACCCACCTGGCAGCCCTTCTGCCTTGCTCTGAACCGTTCTGGTGCCACTTGAGTGTCTCATGTCCACTTGTTCCCCAAACATCCCCCGTTCCTTCCTCCCGTGACCTCTCAGAGCTCCAAAGGGATTAACAGCAATTTAATAAGTAAATAATTTAAGGAGGATTTAGTGACTCTTAGCAAAAAGAGTCATTCTTCCTGCTCTAATGCCCCTCCTCCTCATGGCCAGAGAGCAGCCAGCATTTAACTCCAGCTGATGGAACTGCTCAAGCTGTGAAAATGGCTTGTTTGTACCATCAGTTTATCAGTCTGAAATCACAATTACAGACCAAAGTCAAGGACATTTTTTTTGCCTGTGCTGCAGCATTTCAGAGGAGGATTCAACCAGATTTTTTTTTTTTGCAGTTCCTTTTTAAGGGGGTTTTGTGTGATGCTGCTCATCTCTAAGGTGGGAAAGGTGTTTTTACCTCTGGAAATTGTGGGTGGTGACTCCTGCCTCCAACTATTTTATCAAGCAAATAGGAAGGGTGGGGACAAAAAAAGCTGAAAATATTAGAAATTAACGACAAATCAACAGAAAACCTCATGAAAATTCCCTAAATTAATGTATCAAAACCACTGCAGCAACCCCCACAAGGTACATTTGTTTTTCTCCAGCAAAGGTTATGCTCAAACCCAACAATTCCTGCTGTCAGGCAAGACCGGGTCGTTTATTTAAATGAAGACAACCAAGCCACTTTTCTCTTTCACACTTTTATTAATTGCAACTTAAATGAGGCTGGAATTTCTGCCACAGGCCCCTCTTTGGGCTCCTCATCCAGCTCTGCCATAGCAAAAGAGGTACCTTAAATTCAGCTGTGAAGGACGATGCCACGTGCTGTGATTAATCAACAGTGCTCCCAGTGAAAGTTCCAATAGATTTTTTTTTTTATACACAGTGATTATGAAAATAGAGTATTTCCCACACCCCCCATACAATATTTTACTTCTGCCAGCAACAAAATACGACAAAGAAAAAAAAATAATTCATTTATTTCTCTAGCCCTAGGAATCTTCTCCTACTGCAACACACACACACACACACATCACCCCCCACTGAAAGCCTTGAGGGGGGAGAAAGGACTCCAAAAATCACACTGAAATATTTCCCTTCAACCTCTAGGTCACTGTAGTGGTGTCCTAGAGCCTGATCCAGAGGGATCTGGAGGAAATAATCCCAATTGCGAAGCACATGACCCCGGGATTTTGAGTCCTGGAAGTTCATGTCACACCACTGAGTCAAACCAACTTGGAAATCAGGGAGAATCCTGCAATTCCCCACCCCCTCTCAAACCAATCATCTCCTGATCCACAATAATCACTGATCTCCCCAGCCCGGTGGCAAAGCAGCATTTTTGGAACAACACAGACTGAGACAACAAAGACTCAAGGACAGGAGATTGCACTGCAAAGTGAGAGAGAGAGACAACCCCCTGGGGAACTGTGGAACTGCTGTGACACTCAAACCACTGCCACACTCCCCAGGCTTTGGGATCCACTGCCCCTTCCTGTGCATCTGCACTGTAACAGCTGGATTTCCTTAGGATACAAGGTGAGTTTGAACTTTGGGGTGGTTGAAGCATCTGAGGTAAGTTCTTTGATGCACCTTTATTTTTATTTTTATTTTTTTTTTTTGGTATCGTTTCTTCCTGTGCTTTTTTTTTTTTTTTTTTTTTTTTTTTTTTTTTTTTTTTTTTTTTTTTTTTTTTTTTTTTTTTTTTTTTTTTTTTTTTTTTTTTTTTTTTTTTTTTTTTTTTTTTTTTTTTTTTTT